GTATTTACAACAAATATTTTATATTTAATATAAATTATATTATTGCAATATGGTTTAAATACTTCACTAGTAAAGCAAATCAATAAGACTACAGACTATTTTAAACAAAAAGGAGTTTAATGGGGAAAAAAAATACACATTTAAAAACATTTTGTTTCATCTATCCTATTTTTTGCAAAATAGAGCTACCAGAGTATACTATTTAAAAAAGCCTCAAAATTCTACCCTACTAAATGTTATTCTTAGGTTCCTCCAAGAACCAAAAGTCTTTTTGGTTGCTATTTTCTTTTTTGGTATAAACTAAACCACCCGACTCAATATTTTACAAGTTTTCACTGATCTTAATCAAACCTGATATGAAAATGAGCTTTCCCCACCGCAGTGCTCAGGAAGACTTGAGTATAGCTGAACAGATACACACCTTCTGACTACAAGGGTAATACCTTACAGCACCTTCTCTTTAGATGTCTTCTGTAAAACTAGGTCATTTGTACTGACACAAATTCAAAAGATGTAAATGTAGTGTGAAGAGAAGCACCTAAATGTGGTACCAAGTACCATATTATTCAATCACATCCAGTATTATTAGCATTACCGGATGGGAAAAAAAGTGAACTGAAATTTCACACTTCTGTCTTTCACATCCACGTGATTTCTGCACAGCCCTCATCAGTAACATACACCGGATGGTGCCTTACCATAAGTTACTCTATCTAAATCATTTAGGTATTGAATCTCAGAATCAGAAAAAACACACAGTGATGACTGGTTTCACTAAATTCATGCCCTCGAATCTCAAATGAGTACTCAACCTGCCACACAACCCTTCTCTACTTCCCTGGTACATCCACTCTCTAGATTGTCAAAACTACAGGTAGTCCATTTTCTCTTTCTACAGGAGTCCATTCTCTATCCGATGCCTTTGTCTCCTATTTTGTTTAAAAGTAGACCCACTCCAACAAGAACTCTCCCCGCTTCGCCCATCACACTTACTGTCCACACCACACTCTGCCTCGACCCTGTACAGTGGACGAAAGGTGAACCAGTTGTTAGTGATCCATTCCCCTTCTCCTCTCGCCTCCAAACACATTTCTTTTGCAATTATACGCTCACTAGACTCTCCCATTTGTAGTGGAAAAATGCAAGCCTTTCTTTGACACTCTTTCTACTTCCATGGTAGAATCTGCTAGTTGCCTAATAAATATTGATTCTCTCCTTCTCTCTCAAATGGAGCAGTGCCCAATTTTAGTGACCACATTGCAACACAGCTCAAGGATGTTTTCAGCCTTCCAAGCAGCTAAGTGTAGACAGATGATTCTGTCTAAGTTCTGGTCAATAACATAAGCAGAGGTGAGTGGGATTTGGGAAGTCTCTTCAAATGCAAGAGGCAGGTCTTCTCTCTCTCTTCCTCCATCTATATTTGGAACATGGACATGAGACCGCTCTTTTCAAAGTCATCATATTGCCAGATCCAATTCTCTGCTTTTATGTTACTCAGCCTCTCGGCAGCATTAGACACAGAAGATGACTCACTCATTCTTGAAACACTCTTTTTTTGATTTCTGGAACCTACCATATTCTGATTTTCCTCTTACCCCACTGGCAGTTCTTCTCTGATTCTTTATGCTGCTTTTTCCTTGCCTCCCTGACATCTTTTTTTTTTTTTTTGAGGAAGATTGGCCTGAGCTAACATCTGTTGCCAATCTTCCTCCTTTTTTTCCTTTTTTCTCCCCAAAGCCCCAGTAGATAGTAGTATGTCATAGCTGTACATCCTTCTAGTTGCTCTATGTGGGACACCACCTCAGCATGGCTTGATGAACAGTGCATAGGTCCGTGACCAGGATCTGAACCGGCAAACCCCAGGCTGCCAAAGAGGAGCACGCGAACTTAACTACTACGCCACCAGGCTGGCCCCGACTTCTACATTTTTTAATGCTCCAGCCCTCTTCCCTTTACTCACTCCTTTGTGACTATTTTAGACCTACGGTTTTAAATACCATTTATACTCTGATGACACTCTGACCTCCAAATTCATATATCTAAACTAGATGTTTGACATTGCCACTTAGGTGTTTAAAAGACATCTTGAAATTTACCTAGCCAAAACAAAAACTCTCCCCACTTCTTCCGAACTCTAGTCCTTTCCACCTCAGTTCATACTCACCACCATCCACTTGGCTGCTCAACGCAAAAACCAGGCACTCATCCTGGACTCCTCTCTTTCCCTCTCACCCCACCCACACTCATCAGCAAGTCCTGCTGGCTCTGCCTCCCCAGTACATCCATCACTTCTCTCTGTCCCCACTGCTACCACCCTGGGGAAGCCAGTATCTTTCTCATCAGACTCCTGTGATGGCCATTGTGTCCCCCTTCGATTTCCCAAAGTCTATTTTCTAAGCAGCAGCCAAGTGATCTTGTCAAAGCACAGATCTGACTGTGTCTTCTTTGTCTCTTAGAATGAAATCTAAACTCCCTACGTGGCCTCCAAGGTTCTAGGTGACCTGCCCAGCTCCTCTCTGATTTCATTCCTGACACTCTTGCCTCAACTGTTTTTAATATCAGCTGTGGCCTCCACCTAAATGCTCTTGCCCAGTATTTCCTCACTACCAACCCCTTTTCATCCTCACTCAGGGACCATCAAGGCTAAGGCAGTGTCCCCCTAGTCACCTGCTCTCACATAACTCTTATTTTTTCATTGGAAATTATGTTGTTCATTAATTTAAGGTCTTTTTTTCACTCTGTTTCTCCTTACACTATAAACTACATGAGAGCAGTGCCTTGTCAATCTTGTTCACTGCTAGACCCCCAGGATCTGGAACAGTGACTAGCAAGGAGCAGGTGTTCAACAAATTATTTGATGAATGAATAAAGTCAGAATACCAAAATTAAAAGTCACTTTGTCTGAACCATTATTCCAGTGTTTAAAACTCTTAATAACAGACCTGAGAAACAGCTGACCACCGTATGCTGGTCACTAAGGAGCAAGGATCGCACTCCTCCTGAGGTACCCAACCCCATCCTGAACAACTTGGATTATTCAAAAGCCCTTGTTCCCCCTCAAGTTTACGTCTGACTACTGCAGCTTCTGTTCATTTATGGAAGCATTTATGATCATGCAGAATACTTGTCTTGTTTTACACAAGACAGTGCTTCAAGTATCTGAAGGTGGTGACTATACCGTCCATCTCCTGGCTGAACAGTCCTCAACAGTTCCAATCTTCTCAACAGTCCCGGTCTTCTCAACAACTCTCCCCAAGGCACAGTCGTGAGTCTCATCGCCACCTTCCCACACACTTCAAGACTGTCCCAAAATGCAATGTAGTCGCATACTTAGCTATCAACTACGCCACGAATATGCAACTCCGGCCGGATTTATCACTTCTCATCTGGTTGGACCCACTAATCTCTTTCTCAGGGAGCACGACCTGCTGTAAGTGAACTCCTACCTCCTTCCACTTTAAGCTCACACTCAATCTCCAATCCATGTGTCTTTCATACCACCAAGTGCTTACTGCCTCCATCATCCGAGTACATTACAGTCACTCCTCATCTTCTTCCCAGAATTCCTGACCCCATTTACCTTTCCCAACTCAGGATACCTGCCCTATTCTTTGGAGGAAGGCCTCTTGGCCTCCTTTTTTTGCATAAAGGTCTTGATTTTCCACACATGTATATTAAAATTATAAACTCTCTTCATTTTCACACAGGTAGCCTGAGGCAGACCAGGACTTCTTAATCAGCAGCAAGGGAGCCATAAAAAGAAGAGGCTCTTCTACGGCTACTATTAGAATAGATCTGAAGCCAGAAGGGCAAGGCAGAGCCTATGCTGGTACCCCGGGACAAACTGGAACATCCCTGATGTCCCATCCTTGACGTACCACTCCTGTAGTCCCTGCTGTGGACAACACTAGACCTCCAGGTCATTCACTTCCTTGCTCCTCTAAGCATAGCTGAAGAAAACAAGAACTATCCCATATCAGAATAAGTGGTGTTTTACATAGCTGTTCACAGGGGCACTTTTTTAGAACCATCTATTATCTAATTTTACTCCCTTTTCCTCCAAAACACACTGACATTTCATTTAAATCATTCAGGTAGAGTAACAACTGTTGGGAAGTTAATGATTAGATAAGGTAACAGAGTTTGGTCATCTGAAAACATTCTTTATTTCAGCAGCGTGTGAACACATTCTAGTGAAGGCATAGCCTTAACAAAGCAGGCTGGCAAATAAAACTGTATTACCACGCTTTGAAAGAGTTTAGGTAAAGCCAGAGGGCCAAAATACTGACAGCAAGATGACCAGAATGATCTAGGTACGTGATTAGCTGTGATTGAGGAACAAAACAAAATCTATAGGCCAAATCTGCTAGTGATTTTTTCTTATATATATTCCGAGGAGTAATAATTTCTAATAAAATGCCACACTGGATCAGTCTACTAGTATTCTGTCTTCCACAGGTGTAGCAAAGGATAATTTGTGGGGAATCCAGGTAGTTATCTTCTGTACCTGCCTCAGCAGATTAAAAGCCCTCCTCCTTAGTTCTGCCTTGCTCCTGAATAATGTATCACGTATTTACCCTTTACAAAACTAACCTAAACCATATCCAGTCAGATTTTATTTTTAATAAACATATGTCCCTTAAGCTCTTGCTTAAGTGCTTAGTGTTCCCCAGTTCCAAACCTATGAGATCTTGTCAAGTCTCATTAATCTCATCTAGAACCAGATCATTTGAAAGCAAATTTAAGTATCTATCCTTTTAAATCTTTATTTCATTAATGAAATTACGCATATTATTTACTCTACAGAAAAATGCAATGTGTTATCTCCTCTAATATAATTATTTCTTATATTAATTCTAAAGAGTTCTAACCTTCTAAAATCTCTTCTTAGAGGAATATCCTCCCTCTCTTAATCACTAGAGTTGTCCTTTTAGGAAGTCCCGCCAAGTTCAGTTAAAAATTGAAAACAACCAGTGAAGTCAATTTAAAACTCAACTCACAACATTGTGTGATCTTCTGGATGTTGGATGAGATTCTCTGGGCCAGCTGGGCAGGGTCACCACCTATTCCTGGAGTGTAAGACATGGTCAATGTGCTTGTTCACGAATTTCATCAGCTGTTGGTGGCTGTGCAGTTTTCTAAGCAGTCACCTAAATAATATAAAAGAAAAGTCACAGAATTGTATTTTTAAAGTTATTGGCTTACATTTTCCAAATTTTCAAGCTGGGAGGTTACAAGTACAATTCTGATTAACCTAACAGGGTTGAAATCTAGCAAAGGAACACATCAAACAGTAGAACTCTCATGTCTATACAAAAAAACTGGACTTTAAAGGACAGAGTCATGTTAAACTTCTTAAAAAATTAAAATAAGATTCAGGGCCGGCCCCGTGGCTTAGCGGTTAAGTGTGCACGCTCTGCTGCTGGCGGCCCGGGGTTCAGATCCCAGGCGCGCACCGACGCACCGCTTCTCCAGCCATGCTGAGGCCGCGTCCTACATACAGGAACTAGAAGGATATGCAGCTATGACATACAACTATCTACTGGGGCTGTGGGAAAAAATAAATAAAATTATAAAGAAAAATAAAATAAGATTCAAATTGTACATTCCCTTTGAGAACTTCTTTGATCTAAGGATGAGTTATTAAGTCCCTTTTCTGTGCATAATGTTAATTGTTTATACACTTTCTCCTTAACTAAACTGCAAGCAAATATAAGGCAGGGCCCACATGCTATTTATCTTTCTTTCTCCAACATTTAAAACAACTTCTGGCACAGAACAGGTATTTATTTATTTACTTACTTATGGTGAGGAAGATTAGCCCTGAGCTAACATCTGTTGCCAATCCTCCTCTTTTTGCTTGAGGAAGACTAGCCTTGGGCTAATATCCCTGCCCACCTTCCTCTACTTTACATGTGGGACACCTGCCACAGCATGGCTTGATAAGTGGTGCAGAGGTCTGCACCCGGCATCCAAACCTGCGAACCCTGGGTGGCCGAAGCAGAGGGCGTGAACTTAACCACTATGCCACTGGGCTGGCACCAGAACAGGTATTTAAATATTTACTAAACGGAACAGAGACATCAAACTATCCTCAGAAATTTCATTATATCTAATTTAACACACACAGGAGGAGCTCAGGAACATACAACTAATGGGTCTCTAAGTTTAATGGGAAAGAAGGTCAAATTTGAGAGAGTAGAGCCGACAAGTGAGAAAAAAAGGAATGGCCTGTAAAATGCTCATCACACACAATCCCGACAGAGCAAGAACAGCTCCCCTCTCCCAGAAGCCAGCGTCTTAAGATAGGAAGCAAAGCTGGGGTAACGCTCCAGGAAGGAGGTAAGATGAAGTTCTTTTCTTCTTCACTCCACACCACACCACTCAGCGTTTGGAAAGAAGAATGAGAAGGGGTGTTCCTGAGCCCAGGACTGTGCACAGCAAAGATTTCAACACTCCTACACTCCTCACTGCGCGTGCACTGAATGTCGCAAAGTTGCAGGCAGTCGATTTGTAAACTGACTCTCCACTAAGAGTCTGTGACACGCCTAGCACAAAACTGAGCACTTGGGAGTTGCAAGGAAACAAACAAAACAGCAGAGATAAAGTATCTGCTCAAATCAAGTTTGTCATTTAGGAGAAAGGATAGTTAAAAATGTAAAACAACAACAGCAGTACAAATGAATAAAAGGTCATGTGCTAGACAAAGGTGATGGGAACTACAAAAAGGAAACATCACTGCTGCCCTTTTCTAGAAAGAATTTATGAAACAGAAATGCAAGATCTGGCTACCTGGGTATGACTGGTCTAGGAAACAACAGAGGCAAAGATGTGAAGCCTGGGGCAGACAGACGCAGAACACGTGGATGGGGCAACCGCAGTGTGTCATTTACCACAGGAAGGGGAGGTTCCTGGCCAGCACGGGGTCAGATGACCCACGGCTTGGACAAGACGGAGACAACTTAGAAAGGGAGAGAGAGGAATGAGCTAATATTTATTATACATCTGTGAAATGAAGAGCACTTCACATACAATGTCTAATTTCCCCCCTTAAAGTAGGTAGTAGCAAACAAACCTTGTTTTAACGAGGAGCAAACTGTGGCTTTTTAAGATTAAGTAACTGGAAAGTAACCCAACTCACCCACCAGGTGCAGGAAGGATTCAGTCCCAGGGTCCTGGTTCCAAAGCTACCCATGCTTGCTACCAAACTCATATCACAGAAGAGGGCCGGCCCTGGATGCTGGGTTTAGTTTGGCTATGTTGCAATAAGAAACTACTGGAGATTTCTGGTAGAGGAGAAGAGGCAACAAGGAAATAGGTGTCTTTGTTCTAAGGGTCAGTACTGGCAGGAGGTACAAAGGCTGAACTGTTGAGGCGGGTAGAAAAGAACTGGCTCCATGCCTGAAACTCTGGTGCACTGTGGAACATGTGTGGCCACCCTGGAATTCCTGGGGGCTTTTAGATGCTCTCCATTCTCTTTCGTTGATCTACAGGTCCCATTTATCTACTCTGGGCCCTTCGGATCTCACCAAGTCCTAGAGATAGACCCAAAACCAATTTCATAAAAGGGTAAATTCAGACCTCAACTCAGACAGCTGAACCACTGCAGCAGGGCGGCAGGAATAAACTCTCTTCTGGGTCACCCTGGACTTGGGCCTGCAGCCACCTGAAGAGCTGGGGCCTTGAGAGAACAAGACTGGATCTGGGGATTCAATGAGACCAAAACTATCCCAAGCATCCTGTAAACCACCAACTGGATCTTTAAATTCTGCATCCTTTTTTTTTTTTCATTAAGAGCTTTATTGAGATATAATTCACATACCATACAATTCACTCATTTGAAGTGTACAATCCAATGGTGTTTTAAAATATTCACGAAGTTGTGCAACCATCACCACATCACTTTTAGAACATTTCATTATCCCCAAAATAAAGCCCATACCCATTAGCAGTCACTCCAACCTCCCCAGCTGTAGGCAACCACTAATCTACTTTCTGTCTTTATAGGTTTGCCTATTCTGTACATGTCATACAAACGGAATCATACAGTATGTGTTCTTTTGTGACTGACTTCTTTCTCTTAGCATGTTTTCAAGGTCCATCCACGTTGTAGCATGTATCAATACTTCATTCCTTTTCACTACCAAATAATACCCCACGGCATGGATATAGCCTATTTTCTCCCGGCTCAACAACATTTTTCTTTCTCCTTTCCCTTTATCAACCAGATCTCTAGAAAAACTGGCTCACAGCCAACACAAACACACTGAATGAGGAAATGTTCCTTTTTCTTACTTATGTACCCTCTTAGGGGGACTTCCCCATCCATATACACAAATACGCCTAATAGACAAATGAGTCTTACATCCAAGTCTCCAAGTCACACTCAACTCCCTTTAGTGTCTTCGAAACTACAGGAACCCGCCAACTGCCTTTTCAGCTGCCAGTGGAACAGGCAACAGGAAATGTCTACAGTGGGCAAGACACTTAGCATTTGGGCCTGCTTCCAGGATCAAAATGAGATAATGCACATCCAGGGACCAAGAGCTTTTCCACTGTGCACAGAGGAAAGGTAGCATCTGCTCTTGCATCTGCAGGGCCAGCACCAACAGAATATGACAACCTCGCCTGCATCAGAGCCACACAACCACCTTATCAGTCGAGGCCTACCCCCTCCCTCTATAATAGAATCACGGAGTCCTGACACTTCAAGCTCAGTATTTCGGCATCTCCCTTAACACTCAAAACTCACGCAAGCCTAGTCTAAGCCTTCTCACCATTTCCTTTCCAGATCCCCTTTTTTCCTCTTCAGAGAATCAACCAATCAGCTACAAACACTACCAGTTTTTCTCATCCCTTTACTCAAGCAACTAAATTTGAGAAAGTTCCTGCTGGTGACATAATTGGGCTCCATTCATTCAAAGAGCTACCACTGTTGGATTTTCGGCTGGAATTTCCTTAGAGAAAGGGCACAGCCATGGTCACCTCAGCTCAGTGCTGAATGAAGAACAAAAAGAAATACGCAAATGATGGAAAAGAAAGATACACACAAGTTCAACAAGATTAACAACGGCTACCTTACTATTTCCTAAGCACTGGGCTTAGGACTTTTACATTTATTTTCTCAGTTGATTCTTACAACAAGCCTATGAGGTAGGTACAATTATTATTCTGATTTTTCACATGAAGACACTGAGACATAATGAGAACAAGTAACTTGCTTAATGTAAGAAAAGAGCTAAAATTTGAAACTAAACCTTAGAGCCCATATTTTTAAAACACTAAACCACATTGCTTCCCTGTACAACAAAATTAAGGACAGGTGAGCCCACTCAATTAAGAAAAACCAAATTTACCATCTTTCTGCAGACTCTGTATCAAGTTTTGCTAAACACATTCTAAAGATGAGGAAACAGGCCTGGGATAAGTACCCACATGGATCAAGGTAACACAGCTGAAGAGTTCACTCCTTTCTCTCTCATTCTGCTAGCAGTGATATCTAAGTACAACAGTGGCTGGCTCTTCTCATGATGAGATATGAGAAATAAAGGAGCCAAATGACTAACTTTACTGTAAAAAAATATACACATGGACAGACAGCTACCTACAAATTGACTTAAAAGTTTATCTTTGCATAGAGACTTATGCAACCAAGTTATTTTGGCGCCTGCTTCCCACATCAGTCTCCAGCACCCAGGCCAGAGCTAATACACACCACAGTTCTCTTGCTGAGTACTTCCGAAAGCCCATTCAGAATCCCTCGTTTTACTGCTCAGAATAACAATAACTCATTATCTATACCTGCACTATCAAGTGTTCAAATATCACATGTGTGGCCAGTGGCTTGGCCAGCTCACGTATAGAACATTCCCATCATAGCAGAAAGTTCTATTAAACAGTGCTCATCTAGACATCTCAATAATTACCTTTCTATGAAGATATATAAACACTATGAAGAGAAAGAAGCAAAAAGAGAATCAAAGTGCAATACAGTCCTCTGTTGGTATCCTTGGGAGACTGGTTCCAGAAAGCCCACAGATACCAAAATCTGGGGATGCTCAAGTCCCTTATACAAAATGGTGTAGTATTTGCACATCCTCCCATATACTTTAAATCATCTCTAAATTACCTATAATACCTAACACAATGTAAATGCTATGTAAATAGTTGTTATACTATATTTTTTAGGGAATAATGACAAGAAAAAGAAGTCTGTACACATTCACACAAACGCAACCATGTAGGCCTTTCGATTCGCGGTTGGTTGAACTTGCAAATGCAGAACGCTCGGATACAGAGGATCGACTGTATTCACGAGCGTCCTCTCAAGACTTTCTAAAGAGCACAAATGAAAGAACAAAGGGAATTTTAACATGGAATCATGACTGTCAAACACCACCCCCAGTTACTACTGGACACATGCAGAATCCTTAAGATTCCCATGAATCTTCCCATGAAGATTTCCCTTAAGAAATCTCACTCTCTTAGGGCAATAGAAACAGTTTCACTTTCTTAATGGTGAGCACCAGTGTAAAGCAACAGACTTCCATCCACCCCGTGCCCCAAAATGTTAAGTTCCCAGAGGGGTAGGGTTTGTTTGTTTTTTTTTTTTTTTGAGGAAGATCAGCCCTGAGCTAACATCCGTGCCAATCCTCTTTTTTTTTGCTGAGGAAGATCGGCTCTGAGCTAACATCTGTTGCCAATCCTCTTCCTTTTTTTTTTCTCCCCAAAGCCCCAGTACATAGTTGCATATCCTAGTTGTATGTCCTTCTAGTTCTTCTATACGGTACGCTGCCTCAGCGTGGCTTGATGAGCAGTGAGTAGGTCCATACCCAGGATCCGAACCGGTGAACCCCGGGCTACAGAAGCAGAGCATGTGAACTTAACTGCTCCGCCACCAGGCTAGCCCCTAAATATGACCATTTCTAAGACACTGAATTCCAGGGCCTTCTTTCAGATCCTGATGTCCCAGGCCAATTGCTGCCTGGGGACTTTGCTGGGTGCTATTTCCTATCCCTAGAAGGCTCTTCCCACGATCCCGGTGACTGGCTCTTTTCCCCAGCAAGCTCTCATCACATGCTAGAGAAGCCTCCGTGACCACTGCCATGTGAAGTGAGAGATCACCACCCTGCCACTCTCTGTTGATCTCTCTAACTTACTGCACCATAGCACTGATCACCATTTAAAACGATCTAGTTAGTATACAGTTTGTTATCTACCCCACCTCTGGAATACAGACACGAGAGAGACAACCCTGTCATCTTGTGGAATCCACAGTGCAGGGTGCACAGATGTTCCGTGAATGTGATGGCGATCCCTCTCCGGACACCAGCATTCTCTATAACTACACTAACTGCATTCTTGAGCTCAGCTCCTCCATCCGTTATCCTATTTACTACTTGGGTTTAGGTCACAACACTAAGGATTATTTTTCACCCTTTCACACACTAATCTTTCAAATTAAATGGAATCAGAGGCAAACTTTACTCAGACTTACTGCAGGTGTTTTATAGAATTTACTTTTCACCCACAGCACTTGGCTAAAGTTTGGGATCATAACCAAAATTAGGACTGACTGTGTTATGGGGAGCAGAAGTAAAATATCTGAGGAAAAATGACACAGATGTTGAGTTAATACGGTATTATATTATCTTCTTTGAAACTAAACCGTAATTCTTAACTAGTCACAAGTCAGACGCACTTCTCCAAGTGGCCTGCAAAGCAGAGGCTTGTCCACATCACAAGACACAGTTTACCACATCAGTTATCGCTCAGGCCACCCCCAGAAGACACGTCCACCTCCAACATTACTGAACCGCAGAGCATTTCAGAAGCATTTTCTTTTCTTCCAGATTCTGCCAGGTTTAAATTATATATATTTATAGTCAGAATACCTTGATCTGAATTAAACAAAAATTACTGTATGTATATAAGAGCCAAGCAAATCTAAGACACTCGAGAGAGAAAAATACAGCAATTGACCAGAAAGGCAATGTTTTGTTGTTGTTGTTGTTGTTTGAATTTAAAGAAACTAACAACCTAAAAAACAAGGGGGGAGGGGGCAGCTGGAAATATTTTATATATCTGTCAAGGTCTTTATGTAAACCAATTAATGACAGGCACCGAAAGGATCAAAGCAAGTCAGCGTGTCCCAGTCATCACGCCAAATAGAAAAAAGGCGACAACGAGGCTCGGAACGAGCGCGCAGGGCGCCCTCGCCGCCGCATTTTCAGTTCCCCTCCAGCGGGAGAACTTTTCTCCCGGGCGAGCGAGAAAGAGGAAGAGGGCAGCCCGCGCCCCGCCCGCGGCGCAGGCTGGATTCCCGAGCTGCCCGGGCGGGCTGGGCGCC